CTTAAAAAGCAAGTTACAGCCGGGAAATCAAATCCGATCGAAGCAAACAACGACTCTCCATTAAAAAAAAAAAAAAAAAAAAAAAAAAAAAAAAAAAAAAAAACTCTCCGGCCACCCTCGGCCCCGGAGACCGACTCTCGTTATCCAGAAAGGATCGCGAAAGGGAGAGAAAAACTAGCACTCCACTAATGAGAAAAATCCCCATGCCCCAACAGGCGACCTCCCCTGTAGCAACTGCCACGCAAACTCATTACACCCCTTTTCGGCTCCATCCGGCCTTTCGCGGGGAGAAAATTTCCCTTGCGGGTTCTCTTTGTGTTTTACGAGACTTGCCTTGGGACATGGAGAAGATGAACGTTTACTATTTGCTATGTAAGTATACATATACATATAGCTGTGTGTATATATATATAAGCGTACAGGTATATACATACATACAAGCATACACATATACATTTTGTACATATATGTATATATGTATATATATATATATGTATATATTTAGGGGAATCCAGCAGCCGAACCAAGCCAGAAGAGCAGAAAGCGAGACTTCTCCGTGTTACGCAGCTCCACCGACCCGGTCTGTCCCCTACCCTGTCCCGGCCCGGTCCTCGATCGCATCAGCGCCTCTGCCTTTCGGGACTGGACGAGGACACTTAGCCGGAGCCATTAGCATGTGAATGAGGAGGAAGAGTTGGGAAGCGCTCCCGGGAGCTGCGTTTTCCCGACCCTTATCGCATTGTCACCTGTTGCATTCATCGGCTCGGGGCACCGAGAAGCATTTTATTTAGGAATGAAACTTAAAAAGGGGCATAAGGAGGCAAGGAAGGAGTCCCTGGGCAGGAAGGGGCAGCCGCGGGGCTCAGCCTTCCCCGGTGGCTCGGAGCAGATCCCGCACGGCCAGGAGCAGATCCCGCATTCCCGGTGCCCGACGGGCCGCAGGAACGGGACTGAGCCGGACTCTCAGTCGCCGTGTGCAGGGACGAGGCCCCGGGACCCAGCAGCCCCGAGTCGCGGAGGACGTCGCACCCGGTCCGGGGGCTCCACTGATCCCGGGTTCCCCTCCCGGTAAAGGAACGAAAGAAACGGTAAAAGAGGGAGGAGAGTGGAAATGGACAGCGGTCCGAACCTGGCAGGGACGTCGCTCACGGAGGTCAGGTCGGGACCCATTCGCTGCCCTTGACTGGGCCGCTTCGGTTATGGACATGAAGAGGCCGCTGTCCCCCCCTCCGTCCCCGGCACCCACCCCGAGGCGACCGAGAGGCGGCCGGGGTGGCCCAGTCACGGCGACGGGTTTGGAAGAACCGAACTCGGAGCGGACATGGAGGCAGCGAGTCTCGGTGCGAGGTGCGGGACCGGCATCCACCCGGTATTGAGGAGCAGAGGCAGCATCTGGCTTGTACCGAGACGCATTTGGCTCGAGGGAAAAGGGGGCTTTGGATGAGAAGGGCACAAGTGCCCGAGAGGCGGCCGGCACCGGGTAAGGAGCCCCCTGGGGAGCCCCCGTGACCTGCGGCCTCCCGCTCCGGACACTCTCGTGCGACCAGTTGAGTGAAGGGCAGAGACCCGGTGCGACCGGGAGAGCCCAGGCGGGAGCCCTCCCAGGGTGGGCAGAGCTGGAACCCGCGCGAGGAGAGCGGCAAAGCAATCCTGAAGGAACCCGGAAAGAAGCGGGTGAGACCAGGCAGCCCGAAAGAGTGAGAGGGGGATAGTAAAAAGGAAGGCTGTACGAGAGGAGAGAAAGAAAAAAAAAAAAAAAAAGCGAGGGGAGGAATGAAGGGAGAATGAGGTGGGGGAGAGAAAGAGGAGAAGAAAGAGAAGGAAAGCGAGAGAGTGAAAGAGAGTAACTGAAAGAACAAAAAAAGAGTGGGACAAAAAGAGGAAAAGAAAAGAAAAGAAAAGAAAAGAAAAGAAAAGAAAAGAAAAGAAAAGAAAAGAAAAGAAAAGAAAAGAAAAGAAAAGAAAAGAAAAGAAAA